ATTTGGTCAGTTTACCCTAACTGTCAGTTATATAAATTCATTCCGCCATTTAAAGGTGAACATTGGTACCTCTGTATTTCAAGAGCTTCAACGCACTTTTCGATCAAATTTTTTTGTTTCCACTTTAATTGTTTTTATGTTTTCCCACTTTATTTCTTGTGAGCAAAACTTATAATGGGTGGCTATTGCAGACTGATAATGTTTACACTTGTTTAAACCTTTTAGATGTATGAGTCCTAATTTGAAGTTTTGTTTCGCTTACGTATTTTTTTGAACATTTGCATTCAAATAAATATGTTCCTGGTTGACTATTATGTGGCAATTTAGTTTTATTTTTTGATTTTAGTAATGTTTTTCAATTTGGATTTGATTTGGAGACTACTCTTTAGCCAGCTTTCCGAAATATTTATATTTTTGGCGAAAATTTTGGGGATAGTGATGGTAACCATGGTAGAAATACAATTGGGCAGTTAACAGAATCTGATTGAATTTTGTTGATTTTTTGGACAGTTTATTTCCAATTAAGTCTGCAATACGTGTAAGTTGACATATGTTGTATTCATTTTCGTGAAACATTTAAATAAGGAAAAAAAATCTCATCTTGAGAATAAAAGTTACTGTATATAGAATAAGCCCTGTAAAAATGATTTAATTGAGATATAGTTTGGATATTAGCAATCGTTTTCTTTCTGTAAACTTTAAACTCGGATTTATCTTTGGTGTTATTTATTAAATCGAGGAAGTTTAGAGCTCTGTTTTTGGTTATATTGTATTGCAGGGTGTTTTTTGTTTAAGATAATAAGGAATTATTCTGCTTCTTGAGTGTTTAAAAATTTAGCGTGGCAATCGTCGGCATATCTTAGATAGGATCATAGGTCAAGAGGAGGGTTTACTGCCATTGCAATTTTGAAAGCGTTTTTTTCATGATGTTGTAAAAAAGGTTCTGAAAGTACGACCATAATGAAAGACTAACAGGACAAGAATTCTCAAGTTCGTGGATTTCGTTGTTCCACAGGAAATAGCAACGGTGTATTAAAGCTCTATAAGTTGTCTTGTTTCAGATATAGTAAGCTTCGTGGAATATTCGTAACAATCATTTTTATTTAATTGGTCTTTAAAAATTAAAGTAGCTTCCTTTTGTTGTATTGATGGATACAGGTATTATAGCGTGGCAAATTGATCTCCGACAAAAGTCGCTTTGATTTTAAATGATCTGATTATATGTTTTATACTGCTATACCTAATTGCTATAAATTCTTTAATCGACGGATATTGGTGTACATTTTATTGTAAATCTAAAAAAATGTAAAACTATTTTGAAGCATACTATTAAAATTTTATACAGTGTAATAAATTTTAAAATAAATTTTAATTAAAATGATTACTATCGTATGTATGAAAATAAGCTAGCTATAAACTACCAACAAAGTACACAGTTTTATAAAAGTAGTTTATAAAAACTATAAGAATATTTTAAGTTTACAAAGATTTATCATCATTTTTCAATCGTGAAGCAGCTTTTGCTTAATAATTTTTTTTTGACTCTTTGCTTTTGGTTTAACTATGATTTTGTTAGACTTTGTTCATAATTATTGTTTCAACATGTGTTATAGTAATTTTAGGCTCCATACTATCAACATATACTACAGTGATTTCAGGTTTTAGATTGCTGACAAGAATGGTGTTAACTGTGTTTGGAGCAGAACGATCTGTAACTTATGATGATAAATATCCAACATCTTTAAAGTTTTCTGGATTGAATGGTTCAATGACAATTCTACTTAAAATCCCGTGCATATTAGAAAGTGAGAAAGCATTTGTAGATGGTTCGTGAAATTATCTACAAAAACCATATATAGAAAGTAACTTTTTCAAGAATTTCTCAAAAAATCTTTAAAAAAATGTGTAAATCAAAAAATAAATTGACTTAATAAGAGCATATGTTATAACGGCTTATCCGCAAACAATAGTAAAGTGAGATAATCAAAGGAAGGAGCCCCTGAAGAGAAAACATTGCAGCAAATTAGAGACTTTCAAATTAGAGCAGCAAATTAGAGACATGTCAATGAGTACCTCAAAATATATACAAATATAAAAAAACTTCAGAAGCTGCAAAAAGATTATTTAAGATATTTAAATAATTCATCTAGTTAATAACATAATAATGTAATCAAAATTAAAACAACGAAACATTTCAAAATAACGATATTTCTTTTTACCCTACTAAAGTGTTTGAAATAAATGTAAAAGTCAAAGGTCTGATTGTTCCTTCCTTATTCATTCAAATATTTTACTACATTTACCTATCACAATTACTTGTTGGTTTTTGGTCTAACGCTGAAATGTTTATTAAGTAAGCTTTATAAAAAAAGTTGTCATGTAGTGTATCATTTTTTTTTTCTCAGGAGGAAACCGGGGTTAAGGTTTTTTTAAAGCAACGATTTCTACAATATTGGAAAATTCCAGTTTTTGCAAATATCATTTTCTATTGAAAATTTTAATAACTCTACCAATTTCTTTTGATTATGGTTATGCGTGAATATTTTTTTATTAGTCTTAATTTTAAAAAGCTTCTTTCTGCGAAAGCATTAGTGACTTAACTTGTCAATAGTATACAAAGAGCAACACAAATGTTTTATAGAGCAACAAAGAGCAATACAAATATTTAGGTAAATGTAATCCAATTATTTTTTACAGATCTCTTAAGACAATTTGCAACAGTAACGCAGTTACTGTTGCAAATTGTCTTAAGAGATAAGTAACTTATGATGTCTTAAGACAGTAACTTATGATGACAGTAACTTATAATTGTCTTAAGACAGTAACTTATGATGACATTACCACGTTGCAGTTTTCCGCAGGTTAACACTTTCAATATCTTTTTCATCTTTCACTTGATCCTGAAGGCTATACTGAAGCTTTATGTAATTTATGGCAATAAATTGCGTAAGTTTCAATGTAGCCTCCGGGGAAATACTGAAGGAAAAATATCCATAAGGAAACTTGAGACAACTTTTTTTGTTTCACGTGTGTAGTTCAAAAGGCCATGCTTTTTAATATGGTATGAATTTATTTCAAAGCTTATTCTAAAGAAATGATAGCAATATAACAGTTAAATTAAGTTTGCGGCATTAGGGACTTTACGAAATGATAACGCCAATGGCAACACATTTTCTCAGCGCAAAATTTTTCTAAAGCGCATGTGTGAAATCAGGGTGAAAAATTTTTTAAAAATTTTTGAATAAAAAAAATAGTAATATAAAATTTCATAATATCACGAGATGAATTTTAAAATCATCACTTAAATTTCATTGATATAAATTAATTTGTTTCTATTTGATAAAACTTACTTTAAAAGAAACATTTGAAGCCGGATAAATTAAGATCCCTGAACAGTAATACCCGCTTTGATTCATTTTTAAATTGCTCTAATGTAGTCTTGTTTTTGTTAACAATGTCTGGGAATATTTTCCACAGATAAGGTCCACGGTATTTAATTGAATAGCAGGTTAAATTAAAATTATACTTCAGAAGAACAAGGTTATTATCTGAAAACTTTGTTGGATATTTATGACTAATTTTATTAAAATAAGTTTAGTGGTCAATCCAATTTTTGTTTTAAACATAAACAAAACTTGGTGTAAATTGGGGATGTACCAGAATTCTGGCCGGAATTTGCGTCTTTTAGATCAACTCGCTCCAACTTCTGGCTGGAATTAACCCTTTTCTTTTTTACTTTTTTTTTATGACATGTGACACAGGCTGTGTAAATAAATCAAAAAATCATTATCTTTCAGAGCAATGAAAAACTATAGGTAAACTGAGGTAAAAAGTACATAATTTTGTAATTTTTGCAAGTGCATTTGCAGTACTACTATTTCTGTAAGTCATATTACATTTGTATTTTTTACTTAGGTTTACCTAAAGTTCTTCATTGCTGTGTAGGATAATGATTTTTTGATTTGTTTACACAGCCTCTATCACATGTCATAGAAAAAAAAGTAAAAAAAAAAAAATCATTCCAGCCAGAAGCGAATTGATCTCAAAGACACAAATTCCGGCCTGAATTCCGGTACATCCCCAAGGTCAACTAGTGTTGAGTTTGTACACATTTAAATCACCGAGTGCACGTAAAAGTGGTTCTCAAGGAGTATTTCTTTAGGCTCCAAACGCTATTCTGCATGCATGTTTTTGTTTGTTGTAGATTTTCTTTAGTTTTGTATAGCCAGTACTAGCCCACAAAATATTACAGTAAGACAAATAACTTTGAATAAAGGCAAAATACAATTTTTCAGTTGTGTTACATTTAAAAAAGGTATAGCCTTAAACATTATTGCGATAATTTTTGAGAGTGTTGTTTCAATACAATATTTATATGTAAATACTACAGAGAATTTTCATCCAGTTTTACTCCTATTAAGTTTACGTATGTTTTCCTTTTAATATAAGTATTATCAATTATAAGATTTGGTAATTTTAGCGGAATGTAATCTGACTTATTCACTTTATGGAGTATTTTATTTTATCTACATTTAGTGAAAGTTTGTTACTTACGAACCATTCCAACATTACGAACACTTTACTTAACTGTCCATTAACTATTTTAAAAAAGTTTTTAATATCTCTGTGAGAACAAAAAATATTGGAATTATCAGCAAACAAAAATTCTAAAAGATTTGTTGCTAAGTACAAGTCATTTATGTACAATAGAAATAAGAGTGGTCCTAAAATTGGAATATGGAAATGTGTATGGAAAAGTATTAAGAGCAGGTCCGGCGGACCTAAACTGTTAAAGTTGTATAAGCTCAATGGAATTTTTTTTCTGTAATTTAATGAACTTTTGAAACTTATAGACAAATGGAATCGTGATTTTTAACGAAAGCATCATTAAATGGAAGCGTGTTATCTAAAATAGTTGTTTCCATGCATTACGGAAATAGCAACTTTGAATTAATATGTTGTTGTAATTAATAGTAGATAGCAAATTTTAATTTAGTAAGTAGATTGGGAAAGAAGTTGGTTAAGCAAACTAGAGCTATTTTTTAAAATTGGTTCACACCCTCCATAATTTTGCTCCGTTGACTGACCAGAGTCCGTTGCAAATGTCTGGAAAAGAAATATTCGAAATTGCAGATGTTCCTATTTCGTGCTTCTCTTTTAATAAAGATAGATCAAGTAATGTATTATAAAATATATTTAATTTTCAATTTTAATGTCGACCATAAACTTTATTACTGAAATAAATAAATTAAATTGTTACAAATTTTCATTGAAAAAAAAATTTTTTTTTCAAAGCTAATAACCTAATATATACTTTTAAGTTAATAGTAAAAAGCGAAGTTTATATTTTTAAAAATAATGGCAAAAAATTTTATTAAGATCCGACTACTAAAAGTAAAAAAACGATCATAGCAATACAGCAATAAGTAACAGTGAAAATGAAACTTCAAATATCACTGTTTTGGAGTCACAGCAAAATAAATTAAATACAAATATTTTTAAACACCTAATAATTACATTGTGGATAAAAGCAATGAAAGGATGCTAGTTTTTAATTCCTGGAATGTTTTCCTCCAAAAAAATTCTGAATAGTGTCAATTTAACATCTATAAGTTCTCTAGTTGAAATAATTAGTTTTGAATTATTACATCATTTCAATACTTCCTTCTGGTGTAAAGCAATAATTTTGTTTCCTTTCATACATTAAAGCATTTATTAAAAGATTTATTGAAAGTTTTATTTTAAATAGGTTGCTAATTGTGAATATTTTATTTTTAAAGAGTTTCTGATTGTTTATGCACGGTGATTACATAAAATCAAATAGTTTATGGGGTTATAAAAAAAATTATGAAAAGTTATAAGACGGTTCTTCCACCCACATTCATACTATTAGGAAAGTTATTGTTACAGCTATAATGTTCTATATAATAATTTTAAAATAGCTAGAGAATTAAATAATGCTAGAAGGCAAAAACGAATGTTATGTAAAGAATTTGACTAAAAATAAAATGATGTAAAATCTAACAATAATGCTTTTAATATATATAGATTTTTGCAGTTTTTTGTAGACATTTGGAAAAGATATATTTTAGGTGTGGAGCAAATTTCAAACTTGGGTGTGTTAATGTATACATAGTATATTTCAAATAAGAATATTTCAAAAAAAAATTGCCTGTGATTTGAACATAAAAATAACACAAACCCAAATACTTTTTCTTATCTTTATCTCCTTCCCTTTACTCATTCTCTAAAAATTATTTTTCTTAAACATAAAAAAAAGCTTTCATAATCCTTTATATAATCCCAACCTAGATTTAACTCTCCTGCTGTTATTTATTTGAATGTTAAGTTTTACCAAGAAAGGATTTTCCTTTTTTTCCATAAGGTAAGGTTTTGAATAAAATATGAAGAATTTTGAGTGAAAAAATATATTATAAAAACAATTTTATAATTTAGGGGTAGCATTTTCTCCAAATGATCATCAAGTCTTCATATGTAAAAAAGTTGGCTCAAGCTGGGAAAAAGAAGCAACTCTAAATGAAGTAAGTTTTACTTTATTTTCACTGAGTCTGTTTTCCTGCAAAAAATAACTTTTCTCTTAATATTTCAAAAGTGTTCTATCTTTCGAAAAAACAAATTTTGCATACATTCCATTGTATTTAATAAAATGAGTTTCATAATAAGTTTTAATTAATTTCTTCAAATCCAATGTTTGGTTAGTAACCAAATGTAAATGTTTAACCGTCAAGGTATGAAGTTACTTTCATTCCTTTTTATTGTCCTGAAGAAAAAATTAACTAGCTAATATATATATATATATATATATATATATATATATATATATATATATATATATATATATATATATATATATATATATATATATATATATATTTTATTTATTTATATATGGGTATTGGTGAGAGTAAATAAGAGTGAGAGTGGTGAAAAACTTTTCTAAAGCAAACATGGCGAGCAGCTTCTCTAAACAGCTTTTTATGATAGCTTTAGTTTTTGCACAAGCTATCTGTTTAATTATTTAAAAAATTGCTTATTAAATACAAAATTTGATTTTTTTACTTATTACAAGCATATGTTTGTATTGTTAATGTTACATGTTAAGTATTAACAAGCGTCATTTATTGTGCTGTGAAAATTTTTTAGACAAGCGTTGTCTTTGTGTTTTCACATTAGCGATCCATTTATTTATTAATAACATTATTTATAACATTACTTATTTGATAAATAGTTTGACAAAGAGCAATAAAATTTTTTACTTATTATAAAAAATGTTTTATAGTTTCCTATTGTAATAAAATGCAGGCATTTGTAAAGTTATTACAACAATTAAAAATTCCACAAAAAAAGAGAATAATATATTATAGTAGTTAATATATAAAATATACAATCTATAACATAAAATAAAAATTACTATATTATAAAATAAGAGTGTAATAATTTTATATTTTATCAGTTAAGTAATTTTATATTTTATCAATATAATTTAGAGTGTAATAATTTTATATTTTTCATTTAGTCCAATCTAATCAAAAACATTTGTATTTTATTTGGCGCTCTCTTTTTTATTTATTTATTTTTTATTTTTTGCAACAAATGTGCCTTTTTAAAAAGCATTGCAGTTTATTACGCAGTAGTTTTTTTTTTTTTTTTTTTTAATGAATTTTTTATTTTAGCTACAATGATAATTACACTTTTGAGAGAAAAAGTTATACTTTTGTGGGAGCCGTGAATTGCTCCCGTAAACCATTTTAGGGGAGTTTATGTGAGAGCTAAAGCTCTTGCTTCCTGCCGAGTCCTATATATATATATATATATATATATATATATATATATATATATATATATATATATATATATATATATATATATATATATATATATATATATATATATATATATATATATATATATATATATATATATAAAATACAAAATTATATATATATAATTATATATATATATATATATATATATATATATATATATATATAATTTTAAAATCCTTTTTTTAGCACCATCAAAATGTAACAAGCATAGATTGGGCTCCTAACAGTAATCGAATTGTGACATGTAGTGCTGACAGAAATGGATTTGTTTGGGTGGAAGAGGCAGGGAAGTGGAGTCCAACTCTTGTCATTCTTAGAATAAATCGTGCTGCCACATACGTTAGGTGGTCACCAAATGGTATGTAACTTAATAGTAATTAGGATCCTTTATAGCTAAACTTAATTTAAAAATTTAATTTCAAAAGTTATTAAGCTTTTAATTTATGAAGTTAAATTTTAAAGTTACTTTTATATATATATTTTTAATTATTTTATACATTTTTTACTGAAATTAGAGGATAAATTTGCTGTTGCTAGTGGAGCTCGTTTGGTATCTGTGTGTTACTTTGAAAAAGAAAATCACTGGTATATTTTTCATAAACCAACTTTTAGTGTTTTTTTGAGGTTTAAGTTTAAAAAAAAAAATTGTAAAAAAAAACTTTTTTTTACGGTCTTTTCTAGGTGGGTGAGTAAGCATATTAAAAAACCTATACGTTCAACAGTTCTTGCTGTTGATTGGCATCCTAATAATGTTCTCTTGTGTGCAAGCTCAACAGATTTCAAAGCTCGTGTATTTTCTGCTTATATCAAGGAGATAGAACCTAAGCCTGAAACTACAAACTGGGGAAAGAAAATGCCTTTTGGTGCTTTGATGGCAGAGTTCTCCAATGGATATGGTAATTTTGTTTTATTCGTAACTGTTAGTTTTTATTATTAGTTTGTTTTATTTGATTTATTTTTTTTGGGAAATATTTTTATATAGTTGTATATTATATAAAAATGTAAAATTGTCAAATATGGTATCGAGCATTAATAACTTTCAATCTTACCACTTAATAATTAAGCCATCAGAAGCCATGAAGTTATTATGAGAATTGTTTACTAATAATTTTATTAAATTATATCAAAGAGGACCTTCATAAGTAAAAAAAAAAGAAAAAAAATTTTCAATAGCAGTTTATTTGTATTTAACATCAGTATGTATCCAGCAAATATTTATATCTTCTATTCTACTTAATTTTTTTACATTTTCTATTCAAATGTTCTTCATTTTTAATTTTACATTTTTAATAAGATTTACCAAAAAATTGACTTAACTAAAAAATTTAACTATTTTACTAAAAAAAAAAATTAGGTGGATGGGTGCATGATGTTGCTTTTTCGCCATCTGGCTCAAAGATTGCTTGGGTTAGTCATGATTCTACTGTCTCTGTTGTCCAAGGTGGAGATAATGCAGTCGTTGCCAAAATCTGCACAAGCTCATTGCCATTTCTTTCAGTAGTGTGGGTATCAGAAAACTCTCTGGTTACAGCAGGTTATTTTTTTTTTGGGCATCATAAACTTTTTATCATGCATTATATCTGGTATGTTTTATATAAAACTATTGCTGTTTTTTACCTGTGTATTCATTTTTAGGACATGACTTTGTGCCAATGGTTTTCACCTATGATGGAGACAATGCAGTAAAATTTGTTGCTAAGCTCGATCAACCATCAAAAAATGATGGAGAGGAAGAAACAATCAGTGCTATGGATAAATTTCGTAACCTTGACAAAAAGAATACAGGAAAGCGAGATGAAGCTTCAAGTACAGCACATGTCAATGTCATTAAGTAATTATAGTTTTAAATTACTTTTGTTTATTTGCTAATTGTGCTTTAATGCATTCATTTTATTGGTTATTTATATGCTTCATTATCATTGTTATTAGCCAACTGTCTGTTTATGCTGGGCCTAAAGAAAATGTTTCAAAAATTGCTTCGAGTGGATTAGATGGAAGAATTGTAATATGGGACATTAAGGTATGTAAAGTTATACTTTCAAGTATATTGCATTGGACACTTTGTAGTATGTTGTAGTATGTGGCGTTCAGTGTGTCATGTGAACAGTAGCGTAGCAACAAAAAATAGGCCTCCCCGCATAGTTTTAATCCTCGCCCCTAAATTATTTCTCTGCTCCTACCCCCGTCCCCTCTTCCTCCTCCTTCCTTTTTACAAAAATTATACAAGAAAACTAAATCTTTATTTCAAAATATTTAATTAAATAGAAACCATTATGTTACACCATGCAAGTCTAGTAGATAGAAATACTAATGAAAGTTATTATCTTGTCTTTATAGCTGCAAATTGGTCTATAACACCATTTAAATTTAATTGAGCTGCTATTTCTTCTTCAGTAGCTATTAAGTCTAGTGTAGACAATGATTTGCACCATTGTTGTCTATAAATGTGTTTTAATGTGCCTAAGGATCTTTTTGCTGTTACTAAGCTAGTGGGTAATGTCAAATATACATAAGTGCTACTATTATATTATTAAATTAGCACTTTATATCATAATATGTTGTTGTAGACATGGGTAAAATACAAAAATGCGAGAATTTTTGATTCGTAAAATGTAGAAAAAAAGTGAGGAAAATTTCTCTAAACCCTAAGTTTATTGCTGCTGTAACCAAAACACTTAGTCAATGATGGTAGATATAATCTTCTTAGTCTTTCGCAGTATTATAGTTGGAAGTCCATTTTGTTGCTTTGCGTTGAATAGATTCCATTAAGGTTTTATCAGTTTTTTAATTAGAAGCCCAAATAGACACCGTTTATTTATGGTGTATGGTCTAATAAGCACTTTATATAACTTGAGAGCCATATTTTAATCATTGAAAGCGAATGCTTTTTTGCATACCAAGATATTGTAAGGACTTTAAGACAACTGTTCAAAAATGTGTGCTCCGCTCTGCGTTACATGAAATAATGACTCCTTAAATACACACTTTAGTAGAGTTTTTTAGGGATTGATTTATTATACCATTTTATTTTGTTTCCCATTTATTCCGAAATATATTAATATTAAGTTGTTTTGAGATAGATAATCAACGTTTCAGCAAAATCGATATTACATCAATAAATTGGTAAAATACTATAGAAGATGAAATAATATCAAAAGTCTCTATTAGATTAGTCAGGCACATCTTATGGTAAAGAAAGCCATGTTGATTTGCAGAGAGCATTTTAATATGGTTAATAAATTAACAAATTTTTTAACTATTTTGCAGGCAACAGAGCTTAGTGAAATAGGTCAATAGTTTTTGGAAGTAATTTATCTTCCTTTTTTTTTTATAGACCAAACTAAAATTTTCTAATTTCTAGAGAATGAGTAGTATTCCAGAATTAATGAATTTATGAAAGATTTTTGTAAATTTTGTAAGTAAAAAAAATATTTATAGGGGTTTATATTGGTAAGTTAATGTCTAAAATAAAAAAACCCAAGTTGTCATTATAAGTTCATTCAAGTTAGTGTTAACTTTTTAACGATGGAAATTATTCAGAGGGATGTTAATATTATTGCTTTTTTAAAATTAATTTTAAAATTATTTTAAAATAGAATTATGATGGCTTGAGCAATCATAGGGTGTCTGAACGTAGTGTCTGAATGTGATATGTTAAAATAACCGACAATGAAGCAGCCATCATAGGGCTACCTAATTTGAAGGATTCAGTGATATATTATTAAATTAGCATTATTTGATATTTGTATAACCTAAATAGAAAGTGTTCATAACTTTTACAATCTTTTTTTTAAGTGAATTTTAATACAATAGCTTCACTATTGTACTTTGCTTTAAATTCTTACGACGTCATATTTACGATTTAAGTAAATTGTATATTTATTAGATAATACAGTTTGTATTAATTTTTTAAATATAAATAAAACGCTTCACTATTTTTGAAGTATTAGTCAAGATTATTATTAAAGCCAAAAAAATAGTCTGAAGAGTTTGTAGTTCTTACTTAATTCTTAGCTATATAATAATAACAAATATTGCTACTGTTGCTATGTTTATATAAATATTGCTACTGTTGCTATGTTTATATACATGCATATTATTTTTAAGTATAATGACTTTTGGAAAAAAATTTGGCTTGGGCCCCTAATAACTCTGAGCCCTCCCGCGGCTGCGGGCCCTTTGCTACGCTACTGCATATGAGTCATTTTGATATGCAATACAATAATTTATAACTCTTAAGGTTTTTTTCAGATAACTAATGTATTGTTATAATGTAACAATCAAAAATACTAAAAATAATAGAATTTTTTCTATTATTTTTAGTATTATTTTTAATATGTTATTGTAGAACATATCGTTGATATTTTATGTTGCGTCCTTACTTTAAGTAAACACTTTAATTTATTATTTAAAAAATCTTTTTAGACTTTAGAAAAATCCATTTCTGATTTAAAAATATTATAAAGAAGATCGTCGACAAATATGTAGAAAGTAGCATGAAGAACGTCGTCGACAAATATGTAGAAAGTATAATGTGTAATATTAATATTTCTATTTTGTATTTTGTATGAATAAAATTGTAACTAATTTTTGAGTTTTTACTCGACACGCTCGACAAAAGATTTGTCACGAATATTTAACAGTAAAAATTGACAGTAATTAAAATTAAATGTATCAGGGACAAAGCATGCAATACTGGTTTCGGTACTACCTGTGGAATCAGCATTTTCTTGTAAATTTGCGTTTGGTATTACCAGCATTCGTTCTCTGAATATATGTATAAATAGCGAAATTTTTATTCATGACCTTTGCAGCTTATTCCAAGGTTTCGAAAATATTCCTGAATTTCTAAATACAAAAAAGTTGTTATAAACTGTGAATAATATTTAAAAAAAAAGAAATGACTGATGAATAGCTTCAAATGTACAAGGTATGAAATTCAGTATAACATAAGACGTGTGGATATCTAAAATTCATATTAAAAACATATTATTTTAAAGAAAAATCGGAAAAAACGTGAAAATGACTTATACGATTTTTTCTAATTTTTATCTGATTCAGATAAAAAAGACACCTTTGTTTGCAACAATAGATTATGACAACAAAACACTTTGTAATTTTCCATCTGTATTTGTGTGTGTAAAACTAGTGGTGCACCGATGCATCGGCCCTGATATTGGATATATGATGGAAATATACACTTGAATGGAAATAAAAAAAATCTGTTTTAAATTCCTTAATAGTTATTAGATTTGATTAATACAAACAAGACATATTTAACATAATTAATACAAACAAGACATAATTAACATAATTAATACAAACAAGACAAGCTTTTTCTGTAAAACGATTTTTCACCTTGCTCAGAACACACGTTGAACAGCTGAAGTTTTGTATAGTGTTGTTATCGACTTCGGCTATATCGACCAAAAGTCAAAATTAGTCGACTAAGAAAAAATAAATAGTCGATTTATGAATTCCTACTAATAGACTATAAGTCGATTTAGTCAAGTGAAAATCTTCAAATCCTTTTATATTTTCATTCATTTTAACTTTTTAATCTTTTATTTTGGTTTGTTCGTTTAAAAACAAAAGCACGCGCTATTTTTTTTTTTTTTTTTCAGTTTACGAGTCGTAATACAATTACGTAAATGATACAATTCAGCATACTAACAATATAAAACCAGGTTTCCGAAAGAAGATCATAAGGATCATCGGAACCTTAAAAAGTAAAAATATTTATTTATTTATAATATATATATATATATATATATATATATATATATATATATATATATATATATATATATATATATATATATATATATATATATATATATATATATATATATATATATATATATATATATATATATATATATATAGAAAATATAACGTATTTATATTTTGAAAGATACAACACATTTTAATATATAATAGGCTGAAGATTTACCAAATACATTTTATAAACATTTTTAGTAGAATTTTAGAATGTTGTCCGTAAAGAGAATGAGTTTTTTTAACTTAATTTTTAAAACAGGAAGGATCAGAATTTGTTATTATTTTATTCTAAAGATGGGGTATGGCACAATATGCAATACAAAATTGATTGAACTTAGTTCTACAAAAAGGTTCATTCAAAAAACTATTATTTCTTAATGTGTATTTATTTAGGTTTTTATTTAAACCTATTGGTTTTATTAGGTTTTTATTTAAACCTATTGGTTTAAAAGAAAAAAGGTCGTTAAAAACAAATAAAGATAAATCGTTTTTCCATATAAAAGTAAAACATAAGACATTAAAGATATGTTCAATTTATGAACATCTAGAATCTTCATATAAAAGTGAAAAGCGATCCGCATAATTACGCGGATTGCATGGTTTTGACGGCGATAAAAATGTTATAATTTACTTTTCTCCGTACTTTTTTTTTTTTTTTTTTGTGCCACCCCTAGTTTTCATATATTTACAATAAAGACATATTACATTTATAAAAATTGACCGGAGCAGGAAGAAGACAATGACTGTCTTAACACCGAGCCCCGTTTACAAATTGTCCGTGTTTATAAACCAATATGAATAAAATATACAAAAAAACGTTAAAGAGTACATAACTTTTGTCAAATAATAAAATGACAATTATATTAAAAATTTAAAGATAAAGAAAGTTTTGTATACTAATACAAATATATTTGATACATATAACAAAATATATTTAGTGCTAATGGAAGCGTTTTTTCTATTTTAAAATTACCTTTTAAAAAAAATATTTAAAGCCTATTGAATTAAAATCTAATTGAGGTAAGATTCTTTTAGAAACAGTTTTAAATTTTTCTAAAGAGTAGTGTTCTTTATTAAAGTTTTTAATAAAATTTCTCCATAAAAAAGGTCCTCGATATTGAATTCGTTAAGAACTTATTTTTAAATTAATTATCGGAACAATAAAGTTATCCTCTGAAAACTTTGTTGGATACTTATGAGATATTTCGCTAAAATAAAATTGAAATATAAGTGGAGATATTCCATGTTTCATTTTAAACATGAAAAGTAACGTTTGGTAAATGTTTAGTTTACAAATGTTTAAGGCCTTGAGACGATTTAATAGCGGCTCGCAATAAACAGTTCTGTTTGCCCCTAATACAATCCTACAAGCATGCTTTTGTTTACTATAAATTTTTTTGAGTTTTCCGTAATTCGTACTTCCCCATGCAATGTTGCAGTAAGAAAGATAGCTGTGAATAAATGAAAAATAAGTTTTCATTAGAGCTTTTGCGTTTAAAAATGGTTTTGTTTTATAAAGTACGGAAATATTATAAGAGATTTTACTTTCAATAGATTGGATGTGAAACTTCCATGACAAGGTTTCATCAAAAATTACGCCTAAAAAATTAACAGTAGATTCCCTTTTTATATCTGTTTTATTGAATAAAAGATTTGTCAGTTTAAGTGAAATATTATTAACTTTATTTGGTTTGTGGAACAGGATGAATTTAGTTTTATCTGCATTTAGTGAAAGGCGGTTATTTATAAACCATTCATTTACTTTACATAATTCTTCATTAAAAATTTTAAAAAGAATTTTTATATCTCTGTGTGAATAAAACAGATTGGTATCGTCAGCAAACAATATAAGATATAATTTTTTAAATGCTAAAAATAAGTCATTTATATACACTAGAAACAATAATGGTCCTAAGATAAATCCTTGAGGAACCCCGTAACTTATAAGTTTTTTTTTGTTTCATTTGTTTTATAGGTTATGCATTGTTTTCTGTTAGTCAAGTAGTTTTTAGACCAAAGTAAGTTTAAGTTGTTTACTTCATAAAGTTTTAATTTTTTTATAAGGATTTCATGAATGACAGTGTCAAATGCTTTGGAGAAATCAATGAAAACTCCCAAGGTAAAATAATCTTTATCAAAAGCATTCGATATATGGTTTACAAGCTCAATTACCGCGTGATCCGTAGATAGATTTTTTTAAAACCCAAATTGTTTGTTGTACTTTTCTTATTTTTCAGAAAGGAAAAAGCATTATGCAACTCACTTATATTTAAATTTAGTTCTGTTATAACATTATTTGCTGTTTTGAGGTAAGTTTCTTACTTAAAACTGTACTTTTACTTCCTCAGGCGATGATGGCATAATTTATATAACTATGTTTAAATTAATAATAGATTTGGATTAAGTTTTTTTTAGTTTAGATAATTTTGGGCTTTGTATAAAATGCTAATATTTTTGGAAATTTTTGTGCTTATATGATCAATATGTTTTCTCTAAGTAATGTTCTCATCAATGTCAACACCTAAGAATTTTATAACTGTATCTTTTTATTATCGTTTCATCAATATAAATTTGAGGCATATTACTTGGTAAAAAGCGTTTTTTTGCGCAGGTGTAAAAGATAATCCATTTTGTTTTGTTGATATTTAAATTTCATTTATTAGCTTTGAACCAAATAGAAATGTGATTGAGTTCTTTGTTTGTAGAGAAAAGAATTCATAAATATCAGTATGGGATAAGAAAAGATTAGTATCATCAGCGAACATTATACTTTTCAATTTAAAAACTTTGTTTAAGTCGTTTACATAGATTTAAAAATAGTAGTGGTCCGAGAATAGAACCTTGTGGAACACCACAGGTTATGCTCAGGGGTTCACTTTGCTGACCATCATTACAATACACAAGTTATTTTTGATTTGTTAAATAGCTTTCAAACCATTTTAGATTCTATTGTTTAAAAGATAATGTTTAATTTATTTGATTAAAATGTGACGACCGTATCAAAAGCTTTTGATAGGTCAATAAAAACACCTATTGTATATTGGGATTTTTCAAAAGATTCAGAGATGTTATGTATACATTGAACAATGACATGTTTAGTTGAATTCATTTTTCTGAAACCATACTGATTGTTATGAAGTAAGTTGTTGTAATTAAAATAGTTGTTGAAGATAATTCTTTCTAAAATTTTAGAAAATATAGAAAGAAAAGAGATGAGACGATAATTACTGGTATTGGATCTGTCGTCTTCTTTATGGATAGGGGTAACCCTGGCAAGTTTTTTCTTTCAGGAGTTCTTTCTTTCAGGAAGTTCTTTCTTTCAAGTTCTTTCTTTCAGGAAAAATACTTTGATGGATAGATACTCTGAAAAAAATAGATACTCTGAAAAAAGAATATTTTTTAATTGTTCATAACAATCTATAACAATATTTCCGTTTATTTCATCTGCACCAAGTGCTTTATTTTTCTTTAAAGATTTGAAAGCTTTTTTAAACTCATCAAATGATAGCTCGGCAGATAATTCTTCAGAGCAAATATCTTTATCAATAGGTATCAAAAATCATAAAATGAGGTTTTTGGTACTTTACTCGACAGAGTTGATTCAATTTCAGTGAAATATTTATTGAATTGATGAGCTACTATTTGTGGTTCATACAAGCTAATGTTATCGACTTTAGGCATCTGTGGCAAAGAGCTTGAGCATGCTTTTTGTTTTCCAGTAATTTCTTTCAATGCTTGCCAAGTGCTTTTTGAGTCATTTTTAACATTATTAATTAATTTTGAATAGTAAGTTTTTTTTTGATTTT